CCACCACCTCTCACCCACTTACTGAAGTGTTCAATTCTAGTTATACATATATTAATTTCAGAATTATTCCTCAAACCCAGTGGGAAACAGTTTTGCCAGTCATAAAGTCATGCTTACACAGCTCCTTAATTTTTACAACCCCACCAGCTTCCAAAGTTACTGACATCAGCCTTAATCACATGCCCAGTGAGCTCATCTCTCACATCCATAATACATTCAGACTTTTCAATTTCTTTACTCTGTTTTTAGCTTTCTCAGACTCCTAAATGTTTTCTTAATTTGCATAAAGTTTACTCTTTATGCTATGAAGCACTATCCACTTTGACAAACATTTACTGTCATCACACACGACAAGGTCCCAGCCCGAAAGCAGCAGTGTGCCTCATCTGAGCTCCTGCCCATCCTCTGGAAACAGCGATCTGTGGCTTAGACATTTGCTTTTGGGAGTTGCATGTTCGCAATATACAATATGTAGCATCATACATCTTTACTTAGAAATATGAATCTAAGACTCATCCATAGCTTTTCTTTTTTAAAAAATATTTATTTGTTTACTATGTTTACAATATTCTGTCTGTGTGTGTGCCTGCAGGCCAGAAGAGGGCACCAGACCTCATTACAGATGGTTGTGAGCCACCATGTGGTTGCTGGGAATTGAACTCAGAATCTTTGGAAGAGCAGGCAATGCTCTTAACCTCTGAGCCATCTCTCCAGCCCTCATCCATAGCTTTCCACAGCCTGATACCGCATAGCTTTTTTTTTAAATCATTGGATAATATTCCATTATATTGTTGGAGCACAGTTTGTCTGTTTACCTACTGTTTCCTTCTAGTCTATGTCAATCATAAAGAAAAGTATCATAAAGTATCATAAAGATTCTGTGTTGGTTTTGTGTGTGAGTATACATGTAAGTTTTCATGCTCCTAAGCAAATGCCTAAGAATGTGGTTCAGGGGTGATATAATAAGACTGTGTTTCAGTTTGTAAGAGACTGCCACCCACTGTGCTTAAACAAGTCCTTCCGCACCCTAATGGCTCAGATGTCCCTGGTGGCTTTTCCCTCATCTGGTGATAAGCTCTTTGAGGGTGAGTTTTTATAATCAGTGTATCTAATTTAAGACCTCAAACATAGTAGGACCTAAATAAATATTTGGTAAGTGAATGAGTACATTTTCAAGGCTTTAGAGTATACACTCGAGGGACTGGGGATGTAGCTCAGCAGTGGGGCATCTGTCTAGTGGGGGCAAGGCCCTGCCTTAGCCCCACAGCTGCGAAACAATAGCGAATCACAGTGCGCTCTGTGCCTGTCTTAGCAGCTCCAAAATGCTAGGATTTCCTCATTTAATCTTGGCGAACAATGAGGATTAACCCTCGCCTTCATATTAGTGTAAGTTCCTTACCGTGCATCCCCTACCCACCTAGCACATGTGGATTTTGGGGGTACACTATGCATTTTATGAATTAAAGCACTTTTGAATAAAATGATGGAGTTCTCCTCCCCCCCCCAAGTTTCTCCTCATGCAGTATTCTAATGGCATCCTGTTATGACAAGACATTCTGACCAAAAACAGCTTCCAGGAGGAAGGGGCTTATTCCATTTTACACTTGCGTCTGGGTCACAGTCCATCTGTCATGCAGGGAAATTGGACCAGAACTCAAAACAGGGTAATCTTGGAGGAATGTCACCTGCTGGCTCACGGTGTGACTTGCTCACAGACTCATGCTTTCCTATGGGGCCCAGGACCACCTGCCCAGCAATGGTATTGTTCACAGTGAGCTGAGCCTTCTCACGTCAATTAATAATCAAGACAATTCCTCACACACATGCCCACAATTCGCCCTAAGTATTTCTTCAATTGAGACTTTCCCGCCAGATGTCAGTAAACTACGACAAGTTGACAATTAAGGCTAAGAACAAACGGAATGGTTCAGGATGTCACGGCAAACACAGGATAAATAACATGAACAAAAGGTACTGTGTTCCATGTGTGTACGATTTCCTGGCTTAATGCATTTAAATGGATATTCCCATTTTCATCCCAATACCCTTGCTGCACCACTGCCCAGTCCTGTGACCACGCTGGGCATCCACAGCTAAGGAATGTTTTTCTGTAAAGGTGTGTCGCTCTCATTGTTAATAAAAAGCTAATTGACCGATTGGTAGGTAGGAGTTTGGGGGCAGAGAGAATGCAGGGAGAAGGAGGGCAGAGTTGGGGAGTTGTGAGAGATGCAGAGAGAAGCAAGATGAATGTGTTACCTTGAAAGAAGGTAACACACTGGCTGAGGGTAGATAAGAAATATGGGCTTATTTAAAATGCAACAGTTAGCTAGTAACAAGCCCGAGTTATTGGCCGAGTCTTTATATTTAATAATTAGTCTCCGAGTGGTTATTTGGGAGCGGCTGCCGAGACGCAGAGAAACTCCGCCTACAGTCCACACCTGTAGAATTGTTACACAGAAGACCTTACAGCGCCATGAACGGTGTTCCCTACAGCGTCACAACATTTGTCATCAAACAGCTTTTGCTTGGAACTTTAGAAGATATTTCTCTTCTGCACTAAATTAGTAAAGAAAAAGATTTTAAAAAACAATATAGCGTATCATTAGTACTGTGCAATCAAGCTCAGTCTACCCCTCACTTTCACTGCTGCTTCTTAGCCTCTGAGGGGAGAGCAGTTGTGCAATGAATATATTAAAGTGTCTGAGATTCCCCAAGCACCCAGACAAACATCATCATCACCTGCCCGTTTGTGGTTTCCAATGTCCTGGGCTCCCTGGCTGGGATGAATCACACAATGAGAAAAAAATTTAAAGTTACGTGCATTTCACCACATGTCACATGTCTGCATTAAATATGTTAAACAAGTTTGCTGGATGGGTCTGTGTGGATCCATGTGTTTTCAGAGCAAACCTCAGTAATTGTATAAAGATCCCTACCAAGAGGCTCCACAACAGCCTCAGACTTAGCAAAGGAACCTCCAAAGCTGACTGGAAGGGAGAAATCTTGAGAGCTATTACAAAGAGCGTTGGGGAAAATGAGATAATTCACTTGATTTTCATGATTCAGAAAGATCTGGAAGGCAAGGTAATTAATACATTTATTTAAGATTTTATTTTGACCACCAAAAAATGTGCCCAACTATGTTTATAGCAGCATTGTTTGTCACAGCCAGAATCTGGAAACAACCTAAATGCCCCTCGATCAAAGAATGGATAAGGAAAATGTGGTACATTTACACAATGAAGTACTACACAACAGAAAAAAATAATGACAGTTTGAATTTTACAGGAAAATGGATGGAGCTAGAAAACACTATTTTGAGTGAGGTAACCCAGACATAGAAAGACAATTATCATATTACTACTCACTCATAAGTGGTTTTTCAACATAAAGCAAAGAAAACCAGCCTACAAATCACAATCCCAGAGAACTTAGACAACAATGCAGACACTAAGAGAGACATACATGGATCTAATCCACATGGGAAGTAGAAAAAGACAAGATCTCCTGAGTAAATTGGGAGCATGGGGACCTTGGAGAAGGATTGAAGGGGGGGGAGGCAGGGAGGGGAACAGAGAAAAATATAGACCTTAATAAAATCAATAAAATATTATTTTCACACACACACACACAGAGAGAGAGAGAGAGAGAGAGAGAGAGAGAGAGAGATGCCCACATGCCAGTGAGTGGCTTCAAAGGCCAAAAGGTGTCATATCTTCTAAAGCTGGACACTTCAGAGCTACCCAACATGCCCTCTGAGAACTGAACTCTGGTTCTCTGCAGGAGCAAGCCAGGGCCTCTAACAGCTAACCCATCTCTTCAGCCCTATAACTACTGTATTAGAGCCATCCATGGGTTATTCCTACTTCAGGAACTGGAGCCAAATAATCCAAGGCATTTTCAAAGAAGTTTCCAGAATTTGAAGATTTACTAAATAACACCCAAAGAGACAGATTTCATAATTAGCCCTAGAGCTTTCCAGAGTCCTGGTTTACGCTTTCCGTTCATGCGCACTGGTGGCCTTCAGACGTGGGGGCTCCAGATGTCTTTGCCCAGGTATACACCCTTTACCTGGAATGGTGATGTGTTTTTCAATTCCCCGCTCTGGGGAAGCTTGCTCTCCCAAGCTCTTCCTATACCCAGCCCTCTTCAGGACCTGCTGATGAAACCTGCGTCCCCTGAGCTGAGTGTTTACAGCTGTAGTTGTGGAATTGAACTGGTATTCATTTTTGACTATGGGCCTACCACAGAGCCTGGCTTCCCAATAAACCCTCGGAAATGTCTTGGCAGGCAACCCTAAGCCCTGGTGTGCAGCGTTGGTGGGTTTGCTCTCTTTCCACAAAGGGAACGACTACAGGAAACTAAATACATTCTCAGGCGCTTATGTTTTAGGCCCAAGGATGTGGCTTGGTTGGTAGGTGCTTGCTTAGCACCAAGGAAACCCTGGGTTTGATGCCCAGTACCACAGGCATAAGCTGGGTGTGGTGGTTCATGCCTGTGTTTCCTAAACTAAAGAAGGGGGAGGGGGGTCCTGTTTACAGTTGCCCTGTGCTACAGAGTGAGTTCGAGGCCAGTCTGTGACCCAGGAGACCCTGTCGAAAAGTGGGGGGAGGGATGGGGAGGAAGATGACTCTGAGGAAAACAAAGCCCAAAGACCAGAGTTTGATTCCAGGAGCTCACCAGCTAGGAGAGAACTGATCCTGTCGGCTGTCCCCAGACCTTCCCGGGTGACCACACACATAAGCAGACAATAAATAAATATAATATTGGACAAGTCCATAAAATAAAAATACCTGCTTAGTCAAACCATCATATTCATATCTCCAGTAATAAGGTGTTATATACCATTTCAGGTTGGAGCCATACTGGCAAGTGACATGTATTTGGGAAGCTGGCTGGTTAGCGTCTTTGAAGTCTCCTCAGCTCTCCTATATCCCTTTCTAATGGCACCTGCCTCCTAGTAGCGACACATCCTGGCACACATTACAAAGGAATCTTACGGTTTGCATTGAAACTGCGGCTGGCCTCCTCTTCGGACCAGTCGGCGGCAAGCGGCTTCATCCAGTTGCTTTCCGCGGTAGCTGCCAGCGTAGGTTGTCACCGAAGAAGCGGACCACTGCGTCTCATCCTGCCACAGTTCCCTGGCCTTGCGTCTGATCAGTTCGAACTCTTTAGAAGTGAGAGGGCTAAAGGGAAGCAGAATTTCTGGAGCCAAGTAGAAGAAGTGGGACATGGCTATGGGTGGGCTGCTGTGACTTTCAGCTTTTCAAGTCCTGGGCGTAGTGAAGCACCATTTCCTTCCCGCAGCAGGACGCCATTGACTGGGCTGACCCAGCTTCGGAACCTGACAGCTCACAGACAGAAGCTTAGAGGTCTTAGGTACGGTTACCAGGCAACAGGTCACAAGATTCCACAAATACTACCTCCATTCCAAATACGCGGATTTTCATTAATTGTAAGTTATAAAACTTCTAGCCATTAATCTAAGAAAAATACTGCTTCATAATTTCGGCAAGAAAGCACTAGGCAAGATTGTTTGCCTATTGATACTGTCATAAATAATGTGGTAAATCTTCAGGATGGTGGTTTAGGAGACGGGAGCTGGAGCCGAGAGAATGGGCCCCCGAGGACCTAGCCCCACAGAGTACGGACAACAACGTAGATGTTTCTGATGTCAGCAACAACAGGTCCTCAGCGGGTTCAGAGTGTCACGGAGAAGGGGTATGCCTGATGGTTGGGTGACAGGACATCATTCTAGCCTGTTAAAACAACAAGGAACCCCAGATACAACCTCAGGTTCTAATATAGTCAACCCAGAGGGTCACTGTTAAAAAGCAAGTCCCAAGCATTGTAAAGAATTGCCAGGGCTAAGAATCAAGGAAATGGCCATGTGATGGTGACCTCTGGGGCTCATTGACTCGGCGTTCCATCCTGAATAACTGTTCTCTACATGGTTAATGTTTGCCTAGCCACACTTCTCCAGATCCACCAACTCTTTGGCAAATCAAAATGAAATTGAAGTTTTGTTTGTCCCTTGTTTTATTCACTCCAAGAGCAGCCCTGTTCGTCTCTTAGCATTTGGCCAAGCCACCTGTGCAGGTCTCCGGAACCCTGATGCTGTCTCTAGTGACTGCATTGCTGCTGAGAAGCGCATTCCAGAAGAAAAGCGGAGTCCCAGGCAAACCCAGAAATCTGCATTAAAAATACAGATTCTGTATTTTTACAAATTGAGTGTATGCACATGTATGTAAGCCACATGTATGCTGTTGCCTGTGGAGGCCCTGGAGCTGGAGGCATAAGCAATGATGAGCCACCTGGCAAGGGTGCTGGGCTTGGAACTCAAGACCTCTCCAAGAGCAGTTTGCACTTAGGCAATAGCCATCTCCAGCGCCTGTGCATTCTAGCGCTGTCGCTGATCCTGAGGGGATCCATCTTTGACTACTGGGATGGCATTCTGGGCATAGGACTTTAGAATTTTCGAACCTAGGCTGCCACCCTGCCTGTGTGTGTCTCGGAAAGTACTGGCAAATACTACATAAATGTGACTTGAAGGGTGTTCTTAAAATGTTGAAGTCTGGAGCATCAGAACCTTTGTTTCAGAAAGGTCGGTAGACTGCAGCCCTGCTGCTGCTTCTCATGGAGAAATCCAGATGAGACAGTCAGATGGAGACAAGGAAGAGAGACGGTTGCCCAGCTCTAGTCAACCGGTTTGAGGTCAGGAGCAGCTGTGTGTGCCCTTGAGCCTTGGTTTATTGAAACAAAATGGTGGTTTTGTTGGAAAATTCTGCAGAAATATGCATTGTTCTCAAACAGGACAGCGAACAGACAAACTGTGAGAGAGCATTTGTAGAAAATGCTTGCGGATTTCACTGCACTGCAGTCTATAAACAAATATGGAACAAACTAGGACCTTTCCAAATAAACCACCCTGGAAGTCTCTCGGTCACTATTTTGTTCTCTATAATTCTTTTATTCTAACAATTATAACCACCCAGAGTGGTGACACTTGGGCTGGAGATGAGGCTCAAGAGACTCAGAAATAAACTCTTACATCTCCAGCCATCTGGTTTTCAGCAAGAAGAAATTCACTGGAAAAAGGACCACCTCTCCTAAGTGACACTGGGAAGTGTGTGTCGGCACGCAGAGAGTGAGACTAGGTGTCTGTGTAAAAATCTCACCTTGTGCAAGATGGATCAAGGACCTTCATGTAGGACCTAAAAGTGTGAAACCAAAAGAACATGCTAGAAACATTCAAGATACAGGCCGAGCCCAGGCCTTTTTGAATAGAATTCCAGTACAGGAAATAATAGTAAGACTGCACAATGGGGTTGCATTAAACTCAGAACCCAACCACAGCAAAAGAAGCAGCTAGCAGAGTGAAGAGTCCACAAAAGAGGAGGGAGTCTGTGCCAGCTACTCATCCAGAGGGCATTAATATCCAGGGCATGTGAAAAACTCAGAAAATTAGAACATTAGAGAAGCAAATAACCCAGTCAATAAATGTACAAACAAATTGAATAGACTGCTTTCAAATGAAGAAATAGAAATAGCCAGTAAATAAATTATGTTCAGCATTTTTAGACATTAGGGAAATGGAGGTTAAGCAAAACTGGAATTCTGTCTTACTTTAGTTGACTTCTGCAGGGAAGATAAGCAAATAATGTTGGCAAGGCAGAGGAAAGAAGTCTTACACTTTGTTGGTGGAAGTGTAAGTTTGCAAAAGCTGTATGGAAATCAGTATAGAGACTCCTCAAAATACTAGATTAGACCTATTATTGATCCAACTCTATACCCAAAGGAATCTTATTACCTGTACGTTCATACCCTGCTTACACCAGCCAAGGCACACAGCCAGCACAAGCGGTGTGCACACAATGATATTTTATTGAGCCATAAATCTTCTCTTGCTTGTGGGATTTAGGGGTGAAAAAAGATAAAGTAAAAGTGTTGGGAGATATTCAGTCACACTGTGAACCCCAAGTTTACATTTGCATTAATTAAATAAAATTAACCTTGGGTCAGGAGGCTGTGTCAGCAACCAGTTAATAGAAAGTGAACTTAGAGCCTTAGTGGGAATCTGGGAGAGACAGAGATGCACCAGAAGGAGTAGGGAGGGGTTTTGAGCTGAGTGGCTGTTCTTGTTTAGCTAGGTGTTAATCAACCTCTCTGAGCTAGCAGGTTTTCACCCCAGCCTTTGAATCTCGAGTTTTACTTATAAATAGAATGACAGAGAATTAGTCAAAGCTACCTTTAGCAGTAGCAGCAGAGCCAGTGAATTGGGAACAGAATTCCCACCAGACTGTGGCCTGAGTGGCCAGGCCACTGCCAGAGAAACAGGCCGGCAACTATGGAGTCCCAATTGGTAGCTGAAAAAACAGTAGATTAAGGAGCAGTCACTGTGCGGGAAGTTAAAACAACACAAGGAGGGGCCTCTTAGAGACAGGAAAGGGGAAAGCGCTAGTGTGGGAGAACAGAAGGTAGTGGGTGTGGTGACGATGGCCAAAGTGTGTTACATGCACATATGAAATTGTTATAACCAGCCCATTACTTTGCACAGTTAATACGTGGTAATGAAAGTCGGAAGCAGTAGCAGTGACTCTGAATCCACGTGTCGGCTCTGACTCGGTGATGCGAGTCAGCGCACCTGCTGCTAGAAGCTCAAGGCTCTGCTGACGTGAACTCACAGAGAACACAGCCTCTGTGAGATTGCTTTCCTCACACAGGGCACTGAGGGTTGATTCCAGCCCTGCAAAGCTTCATAGAGAAATGAATGAGTAGAGCTGAATGTCTTAATCCGAACATTTAATCTGTAAGAACCGTAAAGTCCCGCTCCATGCTCATTCTTTGCCCATGTTTTTTTTCCCATATTCTCGATCACTGGCATCTAGCATTGATTAGCATTGGCTGACTTCAGTACTGGAGTCCTCGCTAAAGCCTCCCTTTTGGGGCTGGTGATGAGGGCTCAGCAGGCAAGGTGCTTGCCGTGCTGGCCTGGCAACCTGAGTTCCATGCCCAGAACCCATTTAACACGAAGCCTACTTTCTAACAAAGTATTTTAGAATCCCACGATTTGTTGAATACTGAAACGGAAGACCAGTGCGGTGGTTTGGGAACTCTGCACCATCCTAAAGCTGGAAGCTTCTAAGGCAAGCCGTCCTGCGTCATCCACAAGGAGGGTGTAATGCTTTAAGGTAGCAGGCTGTGAGGGCTCTGGCTTATCACGTGGAAAAGGGTCAGTTTGACTCTTGCGCTTTTCTACCGCTTCGCCTCCTCTTCCCTTCTCCCTCCTTTGTGTATTCTTTGTCATGAAACAATGCACTAGCAGCCTTTTCCCCCATGCTGGCTCCTATGATCTTTGACTCCCTCGCCTCCAAAATTGCAAGCCAATACATTTCTGCTAATTATAAATTACCAGGCCTAAGGTTTCCTATTACAACAGCTAAAGCAGACTAAGTTACCCACTAACCAACTCCCTTCTCCTCCTAGCCCCTGGCAACCACTGCTCAAATACCTGTCTCACCTCATGAAAGTGAAATCAAAGGCAGTTTTCTTCTGGGCCAGTGTGTCTCATTTAAGATAACTATCTTCACCAGGCAGTGGTGGCACACATCCTTAATACCAACACTCAGGAGGCAGAGGCAGACAGATCTCTGTGAGTTCAAAACCAGCCTGGTCTACAGAACTAGCTCTAGAACAGGCTCTAAAGCTACAGAGAAACCCTGTCTCAAAAACAAAACAAAACAAAACAAAAACCAGCTACTGGCTCCAAGGTCCGACCATGCTGTGTACATGACGGAGTTCCCCTCTTTGATGGGTTGGGTAGAGTTTCTGTACAGATGCATCATTCGTCTGTCAATGGACATTTAAGTGGCTCCCATCTCTTGGCTGTTATGAATGATGATTGCAATTGTGAATTAGCGTGGGATGTATAAGTAAATACTTATGTGAAATCCTATTTTCAGTTATTTTGGCTATATTCCCAGAATTAGTATTGTTGGGTTATTGTGGTAGATTAATCTTTATTTGAGAAATCTCTATGCTGTATTGTAACGAGTCTTTTTCTGTCCCACCAGTCAGCTCCCAAATAATAACATGGAGACTTCTTATTAATTATGAAATCTTGTCCTTAGCTGAGGCTTGTTTTTCACTAGCTGTTACAACTTAAAACTATTTCTATCAATCTATGCTCCGTCATGTACCATCCACCTCTACTCCTCTTCCTTTCTCTACCCAGAAGTCTCGCCTATGCCTCCTGCCTAGCTATTGGCTGTTCAGCTTTTTATTTCTCCAATCACCTCATAGCATCTTCACACAGTGTACAAGTGCTTCACAACACTGTATTATGAAGCAAACACACAATTTTCACCCTCACTAATAGAACCCTTCGACTCCAATATGCACATTGC